TCTATAGAGTATATGTGTGCAGAATGTTAGGAAACTTAATGCCATTTTCAAATAATAACAGCATGTTAACCATTATTAACATCATAATCAATTTGTTAATGATATAATACCCCGGTCACATATTCACGGAATACGCCCACGGAAGAGCCACGGATTAATTCCGGCATCGTCCGTAGCTACCCGTACTGGTCAGTAGCTCTCCGTATTGTAACCGTAATCAATCGTAGTAGTCCTTGTATATCCGTAGCGATCCTTGACAATTTTTGAACATGCACAAAAATTTGCTACGGAAAAGTCAACCGTAGCGTATCCCTACTAGTCCGTATTAATCCGTACTGATACGTACTGGTCCGTACGAAAACCGTACTAGTCCTTACTGATTCGTAGTCCACTAACTTGTCAAGGATTTCCACGGTTTTGTACGGAGAACTACGTATTTGTACGGTTACCCTACGTATAAGCTACGGTTTTAATACGGATTAATACGGCATTGTCACGGAAAGCCACGATCGTAATACGTTGTACTACGGAGAGGCAAGGATTAGCACGGTCTTATACGGCCTATTGCGTTGCAACACGAAACGGTACGGAATGGTACGGTCCACCACTGTTTAGTACGGATGAATTAAGTATCATGTACTTTTTCAAGGGTATAAATACTACCTTCTTGTTAAAAACAGACATATTTGCGGAAACATTTAATAAATGATAATTGCCATTTACTGTCTGCAACTTTATAATATTGAAATGGCTCAGAATGCGGAGGCAGTGGTCGAGCTGCTTGATGACATACATATAAGTAAATTTATATTAATATTGTACTACAATTCATAAGTAATAGAATAACATTTAATGTTACATATTTTACAAACATTGGATCGTGAAATTGGAGTAAATATGTACATAAAACGAAGTGTCTCATAAGCCTCGGAGGCTGGCCCTTGAGTGATAATAAGATTAATTATCAAGCTTTTTACATATTTTTAAAACTTTAACATCACGATAATTAATGTAATTGTAAGATGAACAGCAAATCTTTAAATCAAAAGAGAAGCAGTATTGATCAACATTTTTCATTAATGATTACTAGTCCATATCTAATCAGGTAAGAGAAGACAGACGAGATGGTGGACTAGAGATGGGCTTTTACGAAGACCGCTTCAAGTTTAGTATGAGGCTCTCTCATGGTCGAACTTGTTGAGGATCCAGCGTCCTTCAAGAAATTCACTTTAATCGTTACCTGATGTGACTCGGGGTCGGACGTGGCGATTAGGCCGAGTCTCTCCGGCCAAAATCATTAAACTGCAATTCGTTTTCTAGGTGTTCTTTTCTTTTGAGGCACTTTTGAAAATGAGGTGCACAGCAAGAGGTTCGTGGACGGATGTATTAGGACCGTATAGAATCCGTGGCTAATTCGTTCTTCTCCGTATCAATACGTTCTTCTCCGTACAAGACCGTACTTATTCGTACTGAACTCCGTGCTTATACGTTGCGACCGTTAGTGTATCGTAGTGCGTCCGTCCCTGATTCGTGTCGCTCCGTATCAAACCGTGTCGGTCCGTAACAATCCGTGTCTCTCCGGGGACTTTTGGTGGTAAATCCGTCGGACTCCGTACTCATACCGTTGTGTGTCCGTACTGGAACCGTAGCGGACTACGAACTTTCACATTTCCGTAGTAATCCGTGAACAATTAGACCGTAGCTCTTCCGTGGCATTATCCGTGAATATGTGACCGGGGCATTAGACAATAAAATCCTGTTTTGAATTGCGCACTGTCCTAGTTTGCCTGTTACAAAATGATGTTTTAATGTCAAAACGATGCTTCATAGTACAATAATTTGCCAGACTGTTCAAGTTGATCTGTCTTTATACCACCTTTAAGGGAAGGCTATATAGTCAATTATCATCACCAAGAGCATTCCCCAGAGTAAAAAAAGTCTAATATAATCAATACAGTTTGTAGCAACAAACAAAGCTGGTGGGCTCTTTAAACCTATACAATTTCTGAAAGTGCTGATTCAGCTAAAAGATTATCGTGATTATAATTTTCATTCAAAATTTTCTATTCCATGGGAACAGAAAAATGTTATCTGGTTCATCTAGATCTTGATGTTTGGAAGATAAGGAATGCATTTAGAGTGCTAAATGTTTAAAAGCCTCAGTATAAATATTTCTTCACAAAAAAAAAGCTACAAGATAAAAATCTGCATGACTTTTTGATGCTAAGTTGGTGCTATTTTAAGGACATTCATGATGCTGCGGTTTTCAATAAGACATCACTCAGTTATTTTTAGAGCCTGAAACTTTTTGTCACTCATTTTTAGGCCTATATTCACTATAAAGAAATTATTAATAATTTTGAACAGTTCATAACTATAATTCATCAACGGTTTCAGTTATTATGGGTAGGAAATCTTGGACCCAATATTGTAATCCACTGATTCTCCAGCCAAACTCAACGAGAGCCAATTATATGTCTTAAGTTGACCTTGTTATGATAAACAGTTACTGTTAGGTAATGAAATTGTGTCAGTATTCAGCAAAGTAACATATATAGATCAGTCATATCCAATCATACTGGTAAACAATGCCAATTTTCTTCCTGTCAAGATGTATTTATTTATTCATTACCAGTTACAAGCAGTTCATGTGGCAGAAAATGTACAGGTATATTATGTTACCAAAATACCATTACATGTTTCGAAAGCAATTTATATCATGTGACAGACATTCCATCAGTGTATAGTATTTATTAGTATGATAATTAAATTGTATTATCATCAGTTATTTGTGTACATTGTATGTGAAACATTTTTAGATATATATCCTCTTGAATACATTGTATGTGAAACATTTTTAGATATATATCCTCTTGAATTACAGATCTGAAGATACCATTAGCAGTGTCATTTACCAAACTGAATCCATACATTTCAGCTACTTGAAATGGAAAATATGTGTTGGCGTTTTCCTTCACATTGTCACACTGGAGTGTAAATATATGTTTCTGTCAATGTGTCACAAAGTAACAAAGAATTATAATGTGTATCAATGTATTTCTTTCTTTTTTCCGTTTTTTTTTTTTTTTTTTTTTTTTTTTTTTTTTCGTTTTTATGTCAGACTGACATTGGACTTTATGTCTGAATGTCATTAGATGCTTTTATCTAGATCAATATTTAAACAGCGAATAGATGGAATGCTAGTTTTTTGTAGGGCATCACTAAATGTACATTTTTCCTGTACATGTAATACTGATATGATCATCTAACTTATATTATATGTTCATGCGCTATGTAAATGTCATGTAGAAATATCAGCACCAGTGAAAGCAGACATGTATAAATGTTCCTGATATTTTTATTTACAAAACAGGGAAAAATGTAGAACAACAAAATCATTCTTAATAGTACAGTGATAATTGTTTTCAATTTTAATTTCACTACATTTTCAATTTCACTAGAATATTTTTGATAGATGTTGTATTTTTTCTTACATGTTGCAGGCAAAGAAATGGAACAAGATGGGTCTCAGTGAAAGTTGGTCACTGCAAACTCTTAAATTTTAATATTAAAAAGAAATTTGTATATAAATAATGAAATACAATACAAGAATGATGCCTAGAATGTAAGCATTTGGTAGAATCATTCTAGAACAATGATTTTTATACCAGAAATATTGATCTGAGGGAATTTTAGGAGAATTTCCGTTCAATCAAATTGTTGTTATAGTTACACCATCACCTGAGAGACAAGAGAATATATATACACAGAATCAATTTAGCATAACAAAACGTTTGTAAGGGAAGATTATTAGTGCATCTTATTCTTTATACACAGTTGATAGAATCAATTTAGCATACTGAAACATTTGTATGGGGAAAAAATTAGTACATCTTGTTTATTTAATTCCATGATAGAAAAAAATCCTGTACAATGCTTTATATGTTTGCAAAGAAAGAAGCAAAAAGCAGAAATTTCTGGTAGTATTCAATAATTAAGCAATGTAAGTCTGTTCGCAGATAATTAGTTTTTCTCCACTAATTTCCCTGGATTTTGTCCCAAGTACTAATCTGCACTTATTACATACACACTTGCCAAACTTCTACAGAATCGACTTTAATTAAGCTCAGTATTTTACTAGACATGATACATTTTGCCATTCTGTCACAGTGAACAGTCACATGTACATTATCCATAATAAAGAAATTGCACGGTAGTACTGTAGATTATGCCCGATATATTAAATATATATAATTATATAAGACCCATTCAATTATACTCTCTTAATTGCAAATTGAAGTATTTAATAATACTTATTTTAAAACTGAGAGGAACCAAATTAGCAAGCCTCGTTCATAGATTTGACAATATACATGTTCTGTAGGTTAAGGTCCCTATGCTATGCTACAGTTTTTTTTCATTGGCTAATCTAAGAATTTAAGCTTATGACCGTCATATTTCATGAATAATATACTTGTAAGCCAGACAACATGAAAATACAAAAATCTGCAGACATAACATACAAAAATCTACAGCTGTATTGTTGCAATTAGATTTTGGCAAACCTTCATGAATGTGCCATACCGTAGTTTAGACACTGCCAATAAAGCTGATGACAGAAAATCTTAGGTACAAAATGCTGGCACTAAAAAGCTGGTGTGTTCCCAGTGATGTAACTATTCTGTGTATTCATGTAATGTAATTTTAAGACATTATTATGAGGGTTCTTTTTATTTTCCATAATCATAAACAGATAAAAAAAACATTACTCGGTTACTCATGAAACAAGACTTGGGACTTGTACATAATTTTACTTATCTTCCTTAATAAATTCTGAAAACAAGCCGGGCTGTTTTTTTAACAACATTCTTTGCTATACTGTCATTGCAAGCTAGATAAATAGAAAAAGTTCTATCAAATTTTTCTTCATACTTACATGTATTATTAGAATTATATAAATGTATAGGATATGTTAATGAAAACAAGAAAATAGTATTTACCTCTTTGTTGCCTTCGTATGCTGACATATGTAATGGTGTCATGCCCGAGTTGTCCCTGTGCATCTCGTCAAGGCCTCTATCTAACAATTGTTGGACAATTGCCAAATTTCCCTGAGCAGACGCAATACTCAGTACAGTTCTACCCTCAGAATCTATTGTATCCACAGCAGAACCCCAGAACAAAAGCTGGGTGACAATTTTCTCATGTCCCATTGAAGCAGCAGCCAGTAACGGCGTTCTTCCGTTCTTGTCACAGTGATCAACGTCTGCATCCCATTCTAAAAGCATTTCACAAACTTCCTGATGCCCCTCATAGGCTGCCACAAGAAGTGGGGTCATTCCATCTTTATCTTGATGGTTGACTTCTGCCCCACGCTCTAGAAGCAAACTGACAACATTTTCATGCCCTTTGCTTGCTGGAATACACAATGCAGCAACAGAGAGAGCCGTTCTTCCATCACAATCTTCGTGGTCAATATTTGCTTTATAATCCAGTAAATGTTCCACAATTTCTGTATGACCCATATAAGCTGCTGCTATTAAAGCAGTCCTTCCTTCATTATCAGCTTTGTTTACGTCAGCATTACTTTCTAACAATTTTACAACAATTTCTTCATGGCCACCCCATGCTGCTGCACGTAGTGCTGTCCTTTGATCAATGTCAGCATTGTCTACAGATGCTCCAGCAGACAGGAGAACAGACACTACTTCTGTATGTCCGCCCCATGCTGCTGACCTAAGAGCTGTCCAACCATCTTCATCAGCATTGTCAACATTAGCACCGACTTCAACTAAGGCAGAAACGACCTCAGCGAAACCCTGTTTTGCCGCTAAATTTAAAGGTGTCTGCCGCGATTTATCCAAAGCTTCAATGTTCGCACCTTTCAATAACAATAATTGCACTAAATGTAAGTTACCCTGATATGAAGAAGTGTGTAATAATGTACGTCCATTTGCATCAACATGATCTATTCTTTCGTCTATTTCGCGGTCACTTAGTTTCGGAGATTCTATTTGAGACTCTATTGTAAGACTCTCTTTCATACTGGCAGCATCACTTTCTTCCTCACATGGCATTTCTGCTCCAGCGTCCAATAATAACTTTAAAACTTTCTGTTCTTTCGGTATTCCAGCATTTAAACATTTTTCCACGTCTGCTCCAGAAATTAACAACCACTGTACTAAGTGGTTATGATCTATTGTTGAGTGGAAACTACTTCTCACAAGGTGAGATGCAAAATCCTGAACTTCAGCTGGCGTAAGCCGTGACGCGTGTAATGTGGCGTAAAGACACAACATCCCGTGGCCTTCTGATGCATTACACAGATACTTCTGCGTGCAATGCTTAACGTCTAATAACCATTCTGCGAAACTATGGTGAAATAATATTCTACAGCCATCTGCACTTGTAATTAAAATTTTGGAAAGTAATTTTAAGTGTTTTTCAAATTCCTCCTTGGAGAGCAATGTGTTTTTAATTTGAGCACAGCCATATAATTCTAAATCAGTTAGTGGTTTTCGTGATGCTAAAATCACCTCAAGAATTGCTTGAACTTTTGAGAACTGTTTTCTTATAAACAATCTCTGACATAGCCATAAATAAAGACCATTCAGAGTTCCAGGAATTTCTCTTATTTCACGCAACATAATAAAATTTTCACCAACTCCGTCTAATACTTTTTCCAGGTACAAAAAACATCCATTACTCTTAATATGTAATTGATTCAACATTTCAGCAGTTTCACGACTTAAATGTTGTCGGAGCTCTTCCTCTCGGTCAAGACGACTCAAAATATATTGTTGGACATCGCGAACTACGTGTGACTTCCGTAGATCATCAAGACTTATTTTACGGAAACCAGTAAACATCCGAGTTATAGCTTTGTTCTGTTTACGTGAGGAGCATACTAAAAGTAGCCATTTTGGAATTAATGAGTGGTGTTTGGCTATCATTTCAGCTATTGTCTTACTCCCTTCTTCTCGTTCATTTACAGAATGTAAGTAAGATTCATCAATGGAGTCCACCAAAATGAATAAAGTTTTCTCTGGGGGTTCTATTGTGGACAAAGGATTAACTATTGCACGTTTAAATACCTCATCACAGCTTGTCTCGCACTCGCTAGAATTCAGCAACTTTTGAACATCTGGAGCTTTCACAAGATCTGAGTATCCAGCTATTAAATCTGAGCAGATCAATTGTTTAACTAAGTTCTTTATAAAAGCTGTCATAGACAATGTCTCAACATCATGTGCTTGGCAGAAGTGATATGCCAAGAGTCGTCTGTTTAAGAGAATCTGCTTCCCGTCTGCTGTCGGCCAGACAAGTTCACAGCAGAGAGCCGTCTTGCCGCATCCGGGACCGCCCATTATAAGGGCCCCACATGTTTTAGCCGTTGGCCTATTTTCCAGACAGTGGTTAACTTTGCTGAAGGCCCATTCTCTACAGTAAAAACGCTTCTCTTTCAATAGACACTGAGTCATTTTTCCCAATTATTTCTCCCCTGTTTTCTCAAGAGTAATTTACGAGATTATGAAAACTAATTTTCTCCTCATTCTAAACTGACAGCTATATTTCATCTGAAATAAATTCACTGAACAATTCTTGTCTATCATTCTCATAATTTTTTACGCCATTCATTACAAAAAAACTCCTCAGACCTATTGATCTCACGAAATAAAGCTCCAATCAATAAAAACACAGATAATCCCCTTGCATAAATAATTGAATGTTACCAGCCTGTGATAACGATGCACTTATAAACTCGATATACCAAACTTCTTAAATAATTGAGCCAAAGATGTATTTTAGTATGTTACTGGTTTTAATCGATATGTTCAAACGTACTTCATTAAACCGAATGAATGGAGATGGAGTGACTAAGCAAGCTCCCAACTGGTCTCGACCAATACATCAATACCACACATAGCTCACTGCAGCAGAAAAATATTAGCTATACCGAAAATAGACGTAATCTTTCCTCAAACATATAATTATCCTCCAATAAAATCTCGAATTTCTCCCTTTTCCTTCCGTTTTCCTCCCGACCTTCTCACACGCTGTTGATCGAGTGAAAACTTTTATAATTAAAATGTCAAACAAAGCTTTAATACCTCAACATTATCACAATCAAGGCTTCTCACTTAAGACAGTTACAAATCTTACTTTCCTAATTCAATGCCAATTTATCATGATGAAAAAATGAACTTTGTTATTTCAGAATCCAATTTTTAAAACATTTTACGGCTCATTTCAACAATCAATGACACTGTTTCCAATTCTACGGTCCTTTATATTCTCTCATAAACTTGGTTCCTGTGACTTGGTTTTAATATAATCCATTCCCTACAAATGATTGGTTTTTCATAAAATGCTCGTTATTTCAAGCGATATCACATCTGAGCCCGCCTGGTAAGTGATATATCTCCTACACTCTCTTATTAAGACATTTCTTTAAATGTCACAAAATATATCATTTCACCCTAAAGGATATACAAATCTCCCACAATTTCTCTTGATTCCTCTTACAAAGATACTTGAAGAAACCTCTTGGCATCTGACAAAAATTTTAAATCCTAAACAATGATGCTTCACATTTAAATCACATTAATTCCTTTGTTGTTTTTTTCATGCCTCAGTGTAACATACTCCAATTCTGCATTTGGAAGACATCCAAGTTTTTTGGCATTGCTGTTTTTTCTTTCTTTAAGATTAATTTTCTCCCAGTCGGATCAATACACAGACTTCTGTTTTTAATTCCCCTTTTTCTTTTTTATTGTGTTCTGTTGCCACTGGTTACAATCATGTAACAATTTCTGAAAATACATAATAAGAAAATTTTAGAGGAAGACATTAAAAAGGAAATTATAGCAGCATGAGTAAATCAGTAATTGAGTATATTTAGGTATAAACATAATTTTACATGCACTACTAAAATTTAAACAATTGTGAACACACTAGAACTACAGTCATATATGTTCAATGTAAACACAAGACTACCATGTATGCCTGTAGTCAACACAGTATTACTAATTGTATGTCTGTAGTCAACACAGTAATATCATGTATGCCTGTAGTCAACACAGTACTACCATGTATGCCTGTAGTCAATAAAGTATTACAATATATTACCTGTAATTAACACAGTACTACCATGTATGCCTGAAGTCAACACAGTACTACCATGTATGCTTATAGTCAACACAGTACTACCATGTATGCCTTAAGTCAACACAGTACTACCATGTATGCCTATAGTCAACACAGTACTACCATGTATGCCTATAGTCAACACAGTACTACCATGTATGCCTGTAGTCAACACAGTACTTCCATGTATGCCTAAAATCAACACAGTACTACCATGTATGTCTGTAGTCAACACAGTACTACCATGTATGCCTAAAATCAACACAGTACTACCATGTATGCCTATAGTCAACACAGTACTACCATGTATGCCTGTAGTCAACACAATACTACAATGTATGCCTATAGTCAACACAGTACTACCATGTATGCATGTAGTCAACACATTATTACCATGTGTGCATGTTGTCAATACAGTACTACCTTGTCTGCCTGTAGTCAAAACACAGTACTAACCATGTATGCTTGAAGTCAACACAGTACTACCATGTATGCCTGTAGTCAACACAGTACTACCATGTATGCCTATAGTCAACACAGTACTACCATGTATGCTTATAGTCAACACAGTACTACCATGTATGCCTGAAGTCAAACACAGTACTACATGTATGCTTATAGTCAACACAGTACTACCATGTATGCCTTAAGTCAACACATGTACTACATGTATGCCTATAGTCAACACAGTACTACCATGTATGCTTATAGTCAACACAGTACTACCATGTATGCCTATAGTCAACACAGTACTACCAATGTATGCCTTAAGTCAACACAGTACTACCATGTATGCTTATAGTTAACACAGTACTACCATGTATGCCTATAGTCAACACAGTACTACCATGTATGCCTGTAGTCAACACAGTACTAACATATATGCCTGTAGTCAACACAGTACTAACATGTATGCCTGTAGTCAACACAGTACTACCATGTATGCCTGTAGTCAACACAGTACTACCATGTATGCCTGTAGTCAACACAGTACTACCATGTATGCCTGTAGTCAACACAATATTACCATGTTTGCCTAAAGTCAACACAATATTACCATGTTTGCCTATAGTCAACACAATATTACCATGTATGCCTGCAGTCAACACAATATTACCATGTATGGCTGTAGTTAACACAATACTACCATGTTTGCCTATAGTCAACACAAAATTACCATGTATACCTGCAGCTAACACAATATTACCATGTATGCCTGCAGTCAACACAATATTACCATGTATGCCTGCAGTCAACACAATATTACCATGTATGGCTGTATTTAACACAAACTACCATGTTTCTGCCTATAAGTCAACAACAAACATTACCATGTATACCTGCAGCCAACACAATATTACCATGTATGCCTGCAGTCAACACAATATTACCATGTATGCCTGCAGTCAACACAGTACTACCTTGTATGCCTGTAGTTTAAGTTACCACAACACTACCATGTATGCCTGTAGTCAACACAATATTACCATGTTTGCCTAAAGTCAACACAATATTACCATGTTTGCCTATAGTCAACACAATATTACCATGTATGCCAACACAGTACATGCAAGCATGTACATGTATGTATGTCAACAAAGAACAATCATGTATGCAATTGTCAACACGGACCAATTATGATTGTATGAATGTCAGCATCATGTATGTATGAAAACAAAGTAATCAGTCATATAATTCCAATGATTGTTAAATGTCATCAAAGTATAATTATATAATATGATAGAAATAATCAAATACACTGTAATTCCTGAAAAATATTCTTACAAAGCTAACACATTTATGCCAATTTTTTTTCTTCTTCTTTTTTTCATCTTTACTTTTGAAAATTGTTATCAAAATTTTCTACATGTATCTGGCTTATGCATTGCCAGAAACTGTATAAATTGTCACAGTAATTAAGACATGTAAACATACATGTAACTAATGGTATGCTAATGATGTTTATATTTACAGTAAGTCTACATTAATCATACTCGACTTATACCCTACATAAAGTAATTTGTAAATAAATAAAGATTTATTTTGATATTTTCTCAGCATGATATTTCATATGTCAAGTTTAATTTTGCTATACAAACTTCCTGTTGCTGAAAATTCTCACACTGTTGTGTATGATGTTGATTTCTTTCTGAATTCTGTTCATGTTGTTAAGTCTAGCTATCCCAGTATTCCAGTAACAGTATTTCACTGGACTATGATACAAGTTTTTAAAGATGTAAAAGGGAGAACTAGGTCAGTATAGAAATATAACTGGTTCAAACAGGTCCTTGGTTCAAACCTGCTCAAGCCACTGATACCTCTAGGACTGAGTTTGGGACTCAAACAGCTCCAATCTTGTATCATTTTATTGATACACACTGTGAAGCAGGCAAACTTACTAAAACGTCAATCTTATAACAAGCTCGAAAGATCGTACTTCCTGGCAATGTTAAAATTAGCTCAAAGATATTTCAATGAACAAAATTAGCCTTTAAATCCATCTTAAAGTAGCAGGTGTGCTTGATTTATCAGTATGTATGTAAGCAAGACCTGGGGTGAAGAAATCTGAATGACTTCTAAATTTTAGCTTGTAATTTTCAAATGAGGCAAATCAGCAGACATGCTTTCACCAAGATATGCATTATTCTACAGAATAAAATCAGCACATGGCAGGAATTTCTTTACCAGCATCAGTAGCTATCCAAAAATACCTATTCTAGCTTTCAGTCGTAATCATTATCAATTAAACCAGATAACTCCTGAAGTTATTTACGAAAATTACTACGCGGCCACAATTCCTTTTCAGCAAAAATCCAATTCAAACATAGCTTGAAGATAGGGTGCAGATGGCAACAGAAGTCTAGCAAGATTACACGCATGTGGTTCAGGGGAGTATCAATGCATTCTGAAGCCACCTGACTTTTTCTTTTAAATTATTTTCCCTGCCTTTCCCTGCCTTTTTTTGCCTATTAACTTCATTTTCAGCTGGGTAACTTATTTCTGTTTTGATAATGTCTCAAAGCTATCTATTTACTGTTTATATTTTCAAGATAAATATGCAAGCATCAGCATTCCTGAAATGAAAATGTAAATACGGTACCAAATCAATAGTGCGAATTTGCCTGCTGCAAATATTTGCAGAAAATTCAAGTATGCCTATGAACTGTTTAAATATCTAAATATCGCCAGTAACTACTGTATAAGTCCTTACTCGGCCATTTGTGTATTGGACTGCAGACTAATGCAATGGTGATAGCAGAATCCTCCCCATCTGTGCTGCCAGATCATGGTCAACACTGTTCGCTATTCAGCCAGTACAACATTGTTTTGAAATTTTCCATAAAAATCAGATAAATGGTTCTGTCCATTTTGAAATATGGACAAATACATAATATACTATATCTAAGATTATAAGCAAGGGTTAACTTTAAGAAATATCGATATCAAAATACATAATTAAGTCAATCAGTGTATAGTCAGTACAGTCCACCAACTATGCAAATGTGTAAACCGGCCAGCCTCAGGGACCTGGCTTGGCACTATATACCAATGGAGCCAAGTTTTCACCTTCAATCAGTCCCCACACCCAATTCAACATCAATGTCTGCAAAATGGTGTGGGTATATTATATGTCTTTTACTCAAATATTGATTTTTCAACTTATTTATATCAAAATTTATACATACCAAAATTCATATCAAGTTTAAACTCTTAAATAAAAAGATGTAATATTTAAACATATGAAATTGTATTCACATGTATTTGTAAACAAGTGTTTATAATAAAGAAAAGCTTAGAGATATAATAAAAACTTCAATATTTTTCAATTTAAAATCTTAAAACCAAACAGAAATTTATATTTTTATATGCAGAGCACTGGATAAAAGACATTTTGTAAATTTAATACATTTATTAAATAAGTCTAGACCAGTGTTTATACTGTTTCGATATACAATTGTACAGTAGAATATATCAATATATTTTGAACCTGAAAGTTATTTACCTGTACTTTTTATCCAATATAAAATATATTATAAAAGAACACTGTAATTGTTTTGGGGTTGTATATAATTGGTTTTAATAAATAACAAAGTTTTGTCAATTATATCTCATGACAGTGCTTTTATATCATCAAGTTACAATAATATAATAAACTTTTCTCTAAATAACCTAAGCTTTCACTTTATGAACAGAATGTTTAATACAACCTAAAAATACATTAATTATTCACAAGTTATAGAACATAATTTAGTTTTGTCATGGTATTAGGGAGGGGTTGACAATCAATGGCTATTTGAAACGGCCACACTAACTGACCTTAACAACCCAGCTATGACACTGACCGTCTAATAAGTGTAAAAGGTCATAATTATACTAATGTCAACTTTAAATCCCTTCGGGCTGTTTCAACTCTTCTTAGCCTTTACAAGTAAATTTTTCACCTGATAATAAGATGCATGTTAAATGACCAAGCCTCATAGTGCAGATAGCAAAATACATTTAAATTTTATTTAAATTAATCTATCTTTCAACACTTAACCACTCTGGTCAGTCATTTTTTAAGCTAGCTAGGCTATTATAGATTGATGCACCATAATCTCAGACAAAACTCAGAGTGCTTCATTTGAAAATCACATGTACCCTAACAATTGATATTTCCAAAATT